ATTCAAAAATAAAAACATCATCGTTTTCTCAAAATCACATAAAGCCATATTATAACATCGACTGAGATAAAGAATAAAATGAAATATTAAAAACACGATGTATCTCGCTGCATTGCGCGAGTACGCTTCTAGTATTTAAAATAGATGTTTATCTTGTATTTGATTATGTTTATCTGCAGTAAGTTACACGAATATAAAAATGGAGTTTTAATAAGCTGTACTTACGTAAAATTACTTGTAAGCTTGAATTTTGAGTAATATGCATCAATAAACAGTAGTTCATGCATAAAAAATGGGTTTTAAGAGTTTTTGTCAAATGTTTTACTAGAAGGGTCTCGTGCAATGCATCGAAACATATTTCGATTTTAATGTTTTGTTTTATTCTTTTTTTATGTCGATAATACGGTTTTATATTTTACGAAAGCGATGATGTCTTTATTTTTTGAATAAAATATAAATTTAAAGATATCATAAAATTGTGAAAAAAAATATATATCGATATTAGTATCAAATTAACTATTTAAAAGTTCTTATTTTTTGTGTAATTTTTTTAATTCAATTTTTTTTATTATACTTTATTTTAGGTTTAGTATCGATGTAATTTATTTTTGATTTAATAATACAGTTTTTTATAAATATAATAATTAAACATTTGGTTAGAACTCAATGATTATCTTAATTATATTTTAGATTTTCTATATTTAAAATGAATGTTTATCCTATATTTGATTATGTTTATCTGCCGTTAGTTATTTAAAAATAGAGATTTAATAAGTTGTACTTACGCACAATCTACTTGTAATCTTGAGTTTAAATCATATGCATTAAAAACAGTACTTTACGCATAAAAAGTAGTTTTTAAGAGTTTTTGTCAAATGTTTTATAATATAGTATAGATATAGATAATATAGATATTATATTATTAAAGATTTTTTAATTATATTATTACATTTACATGTTACTAATTTTTCAAGTAATTTCTTTTTGGCTATTTTATATTTAATTTATCATTTAGTTTTATCAAATGTAATTTGTTCATCAACTATCTTATCAATTAGTTTGTCAAACATAACTTAATTATGTTTAATAAAAATTATTTGATAAGTTAGTTGAAAAACATAAAATGAATAAAAATAACACGTAAAGAAATTAGTAAACTTTAATATTTCATAATATCTTTAAAATATTTCACGAATAGTATAATATGTTAGTTAATACAAACAAGTTGATAAAAACAATTAAATCTATACATATAATAAATAAGTAACTGGTGTGACACATGTTATCTTTTAGTGAGCCGATTTTATTGTTTTTCCGCCTAAACATGTATCTAGACACAATTTATATTGATGTTGATCATCTCTCTCAGTAATTTGATGATAATCCCTTTTTCCTTCCACGTTGTATTTGTGTTTCTGTATTTTCAGTTCCAGCGATCATCACTGAGTATGTTCAGTGATCGCTGAAGAACTTGCATTATAAATTCTTCAGAGACAACAATACTTCAAGAAGACAACATTCACACCAAAGAACCTTCAGCGAACGTCGAAGACTGAAACTTAAGATTAGAGACTGGCGAGTGCGTGATCTGAAGCGGTATTCAGTGATTACAAGCCTGACTACATATGTGTGAAGACTGCTCTAGCTTCAGCGAATGATGATGAGACCTCCAGGTTATTCCAGCATTCAGCGATCAAAGGAAGCTTGCTTAGCACGATTGTTGTTGTCTTGTCCTTATGCACACAAAGGACAAACCCATACCCTTGCAAAAGTTAGTACAGTACGGAGCCGATTAGTCGACTTTTTGTCCACCAACTTTAGGCAAGGATGTCTGTTCAAAAATAGTGTTTTTGTACTATTCACTACAACAAAGGACAAGCCTTCCTCTTAAGGCTTGACACGCACTCTAAACCTACCATATTGCATTAAATGTTCATTTAATGCACTGGGTATAAATAGAAGTGTTTCTTCTCCATGCAGAGTGCGCGCATCTCTCTGCTATCCTATTCTTACTTCAAGCATCTTCTAGCT